ACATGAGTACCGTGTGCCTCGCCGCCTCTAAGCACCGTATTTTCCAGCGTACAAGTCGAGCATTTCTTACTCAAATGTCTGCCGGTGCGTCCTATGAAACGATGCCATATATGCGTTTTTTTTTTAATATTATTCGCGTGAACTTTAATTGTACAAGATGTAGGCTAAACCAACATTGCCAAAACCAACATTTCTGACAAAAACAGAGGACGGCAGAGCACCCGCCGATGACCTGCTCTTCAACTTGTCCGAAGACATTCTTAAGCGTGGTGGCACGGGCCGGCGGCTGCAACGACTCTGCACAGCCGTGGACCCATGCAAGGAAGTGAGATTTAAGCTAAGAGGTGACTTATTGACTTTTTTGTGAAAATGACCTTTTATGGGGTGTAAACTATACAATGGTGCAACTTATACACCGAAAAATATGGTATGCACCTAGAATACAGCAGGCAATAAGAGGGGAAGCCACGTAGTGATTCCCAGGTCCTGCGACGTTGCACGCTCACCACAACACTAGCCAATCACCCGCTGTGTGGCAGGCCCAAGAACCGAAGACGATGGGGTTTGCGAGAGCAACATCGACCGGCAAACGGTCAATGTTGCTTACAACGGTCAATATGCGGAGGGAAAGTTTATCTGCTTCTTGCGCAGGGGGTAGCGGTGACGTCAGAACGCCAAGCCCTGATTGGCTGGTCGCGAACCCCCTATCTGAGCATCGTCTGCTCCTTTGCAACGTCGTCTGCTCGCAACGTCGTCTGCGTCTGTCTTACCTTTCCTGCGACTTTCGGAAGTGCAGAGGCCAGATTCACGAAATGATCTTACGCCAAAAATGTGCGTAACACAAAACTTAAGAACAAATTCGTATTCACGACACAAAATTTTCGTAAGTTTTGCACAGGTTACGACGAACAGCTCCGAAGCTGTCTAACGCACTTCTTACGATAAATCAGCATGGCCGACAGCGTCGCGGTTGCGACGACCCACAGACATTTATTTTTCTACGCGCGCTTCTCAAGCGTCCCGACTTCAAGCAGCAAGAAAAAAGTAAAAAGTAGTTGAAACAGACCACGACGAACAAGAACGCTGGATCCAAAAACACCCGGGAAAAGCTCCAACGGCCACGATTCCACCGACAAATATCAAGCGAGTTCGGCAGTTAGGCCTAGCAGGCACTTCGCGACTCGGCGACCGTCTGCCCACGACCGGCTGGCGTGCTGAATGGAATATGCCCGCGCGACCCTTGTGAACCCTTCCCGTATTATACTTTGATCACTGACCTCAATTTTAGATTAAGAGGTCAATTTCTTCCTCTTGTTATCTCCTTGTTTCCCGAGGCAACGGTGACTCTCGCCGGTGAAAAAGCGGTGAATCTCCGACAGACGCAGGAATGGTCAAGCAGATATCGCTTTGACTAGCAGACGTAAAGCAGACGACAATAACTGCGGCAACCCGCCGACGCCGTTAAAGAATAAGGGGTCTCGCCGCACACACAAAAGGAGGGAAAAAGTATTTGGGAGGGAACTTGCGGACACTAACACGCTCACTCTTGGTTCTTAGCAAACAAACCTCAGCGCCTCGGGAAACCTCGCCAGTGAGTCCTTTGACTTCCCTCCTTGATGCGCATCTGCTAGTTGTCAGACAAAAACAACGTACCGCTCGAGTTATTTCGTCTGCCCTCTCTGAAAGGCAAAGTCGAGCTCGCTTTTTAAGACCTGCACTTCCAAAAGTCGCAGGAAAGGTAAGACAGATGCAGACGATGTTGCGAGCAGACGACGTTGCAAAGGAGCAGACGATGCTGAGATAGGGGGTCGCGATCATCCAATCAGGGCTTGGCGTTCTGACATCACCGCTACTTCCTCTCTCATACGCAGAAGACGAAAATGAGCACACTTGCGAGGCGTATTGTTTGGACGGTCAATGTTGTCGCTGGTCACACCATATAAACTGGGTCCACAAACACTCCCATGACCAACCAATTTTTATTTTAAAATTCTCCCCATTGGCCGTTGATTTAGCAGGTTCCATATTTTCCCAATATGGGTACAATTTATAAATAATAATTTTGAAACAAGCTTAAAAAAGTATGTCATATTAACTTTTTCCATGCAACGGGGAAAGGTAATAATTTTTAGGGATGGACAAATATTCTTTTATTTTAAAGGGAAGCTGAAGAGGTTCTTGAAATCAAATGAGTTAGAGGCGAATAGACGATTTGCAATTTTCCCAAGTGCACCGGCCCGCGCGCGAGGAATTGTGGGAGAGATTGTCCCTCGCCTGGCCGCTCTGGGTTGAGATCGCATTGCCTTGTCACTTGCCTCCTCTTAATCCTCTGTTTTTCGATTCCATTACCTATTTTTATCTATTCCAGTGTATTTTTTATAACTAAAAGCAAGAAAATATAAAAAAAACTCCGATCAGTCATGACTTCAAAAAAAGATCTTTCGGCTGCCAAGCGCATATCGCTCGTGCAGGCAGTGCGTGCAATTGCAAGCTTTCCAGGTAAATTTCCCCGCACTGACACCAGTCGTGACGTCTTATTCAAACCTTTTTGAAAATACAAAATTACAGAGGACGCTTAAGCTTTGTTTTTAAAAAACCCCAGAAAAGAAAAAAAAAAATTTTTTTTAATAGTTTGGTTGGAACATTCTTGTCAAAAAATTATTTTTTTCGCAAAATTTTTTTTTAAAGCATTATTGACGGCGCAAGACGCGATTTAGTCAGTAGTCATTTCCTTTCCACTCATTTTCTCTCTCGACATTTCGGGCACGTGGAGGAGAGGGGGATCGACTTGGCCATAACGTTGATGTGGAAAGAGTGTATGACCGTTCCACGACATCATAAACTTTCCGTGCATAATTTAAAATAAACCTCAAGCATCAACATTGCTCTCTCAAAAAAAAATGTTTGCGTAAATTTAACTTTTTAGCACACGTGTCCCAACCAGTTTAAAAAAAAAAAAACTTTTTTCTTCTTTTCAAGGGCTCTTTGAGAGTGGAACGTAACGGGTAAATATAAACCCCCTCTCGTTCCCAAGCCTTTCCAAGCGTGTCTGCGTGGCCTAGTTCGTAGCGTGTCTGGCTTGCAAACAAAGGGCCATGGGTTTGAATCTTGCCTCCGCCTAAAATTCTTCCGAGATTTTTTTTTTAAGCCGAATGAATTACTCGATAAAGTGAAATCCTTCAAGACAAGCAGCGACCTTTTGTTCATATTACATGTCATGTTTCAATCACTTTCATTCCATGTGTGACGTCATGTTTCACGCGAGTGTTATGGGTTGTTTGAAATTCCCGCACTAGGTCATGTGGCTGTGACATCATGACCCAACCGACCAATCAGGATTTTCCCGTCCGCCACAGATGGCAACGCCGACTTTTCTGCGACACGAGCTCCTTAAAGCTATCGCTTTAATAGCAATAGTGCACGTGCATAGTTTTGACAGCCACTGAAGATGCACGAGAGCAGAGATTCTAAAACTCCTTATAGTATGATGCAATGCTCCGGGAAGAAGGGGCTTCAGCAATACTTTGAAAATAAATTTTCTGCAGCCTCTGTGCATCAAATTGAAAAATGATTTCGACATTCGTGATCCTGGAGACTAAATGAAGATGATTTAAGTTTTTTTACTCAAATACAAGACCCCAATTCAGTTTTCCTTTAAAAACTAGTCAGCATATGACGAATTATGATAGATAAAAATGTAGCCAATAAGCAGCTTAGGATTTTTTTACCTATTTTTTTATTTATTTAGATGTTGAACTTAAAATGAGCGTAAAATACCAACACAAAGTTCAATCATTTGCAGCTCTATCAAATTATACCACAATAATGAAAAATCCTAAATATACAAAGCGTGCCCCATACACAGAACTATCACTTCTAAAAGTAAGAGTGCTCTAGCTGATACTGGCATCTTTTTATCCGTTGGCAAGTGCACTTTTGCGCACCGTACCATTCAGGGATGGAGTTGCATGAGGAAGTCCTGTCTTCCAGAACACCTTTTTTTCTTTCCACAAAAGCTGGATTTCTTACAGCACTGTTCTATCTTACCCTCTGCTGCAGTTTGGATGACTTGCGGCATACAATAAAATGTGCGCCCTGGCTCAGGACAGCCTAAGAAGCCAGAATGACGCTCTCCGACGAGCGCCCCTCGATATTCTGAACCTCAGTGATGCAACGTCGCTGTAGGAGCTTAAATCGAACGATCCGACTTCATCCAGAGTCCCCAATGTTGCCGTGATACAAAAAAACAATTAGCAAAAGCGGTTATTTTGTGCAATTAAGGCTCTCTTTTCAGCGGCCCCCATTGTCGGCAGGATGCCATGCTTAACAAGTACCACTACCGCGCAGAGATTCATTTTTAACAGCTCGCAAGCTCAAGAGAAAGCTCAAAGGGGGGATCGGTGGCCGAGTGGGCTAAAGCGCACACCCAGCTCGACGCGCGTGGAGAGAAAGCTCGCGCTGCAGAACCCAAGGATCCTGGGTTCGAACCCCACCCCTGCCCGTTTCGATCTGGATGAGCATCGTACCGGCGTGCGGTCATGTATCACTACTGCGTGGTGCACGTTAAAGACCCCAGGCTAGCGGTTGCACCGCACTGGCTAAATTGCTCATTTACAGCGTGTGACTCGTCGCAACTTTAATGGCTGACCAACTACACGCTGTATAAATATCCCCACAACGCAATTATTATTAGAAAGCTCAAAATGAAGTTGGAACCGAAGCTGCCGTTCTTCGTCTATCCACGAGATGGCTCATTGTACTCCCGCGTGCGAAATTAAAATTTTGGCGGCGTGCGGAAGCCATTGATTACAAACTATCAACGGCCTATGGGTTTAGTACAGAAAGAGTTACGCCATCTCACGCCGCAATTCAAAGACTGCGAATTCTTGCAACGAGGTTTGCAAGGAATTCGCAAAAAATTATAAGATCTAGCCCTGACACGAGTTAAGTATTTGCTCATCCCAATAAATTGCTGGCTCTAATTTAATTTACAATAGAATTTAGTTACAGTATAGAGGGTTTGTGGCCACCTCTAGGCAAGTCACATCGGCCGAAATCTCTTCTGTGGCTTTACAACCTGGGCCGACCGGATGACGGGTGACCAATGAGCACGAATTGCAGAGCAAAAACAGGCAGGGGGTGTTGCAGGGTCTTCTACAATCAGTGCACACCCTGCATAAAATAAAATGGCCATGGAGCTTGCCTTCTTTCACCACAAAATCGGCGCTCCAGTGTCCTTCCAGGTGCTTCTGGGAGGTGGAGAGGGTGCCTTGGTCCTTCGAGCAGACGCTTCTACCCGTCGGAGTGGGCAGTATCTCCTCCGGCATTGTTGAAAGGCACGGCCCGGGAACTGTTTTAATAAAACACCACATAAACCGCCGCACAGTAGAGTCATAGCCTGTGTTCTTAGGAAACCAGGTATGGAACGGCGGAGTCACCCTTGGAAATAAAGTTCCGAATAATTTCTATCATTACGATTTGATCGAAACAAAACTGAGGGAAGTGCAGTACGTTAGAGCAGTGGTGCTCAACCACTAATGTTTCGGGGACCTTATTAACCGGGAGGGAGAAGATTGTGATGGACGATTACAATAACCAAAGTGTAAATGAAGAAAACTAAATGCATGCAAACCAGCAAACCAATTTTGAGGCTCTAAAACGGAGGCACTCAGTGCACACGGTTCGGTCTGTTTAGCTTCGTGGGTCAGCCAGCATCAATTAAAAAAGTTTTACCGCTCCGCTCGACCGACGGTCTAAGGCGAGGCCTTCGCGGACCCGAGAGTCCGCAGACCTCCGTTTGAGACACACCGCTTTAGAGCAAGCTCGTTACGCTTACGACAGTTGATGCATGGCAGTTATAGAACTTCTTGAAAAGTGTGCGCCTTGTAGTGGCTGCTGCACCCATTGCCGGCGGTCAAGATAGTTTAGGCATGCACTCTGTGAGGATACTGAATTCGATTTCTGCAACAGATCGGAGGGAACTCTGTCCAATCGCACACAACATGCTGGAAGTGACACCCAAAACATGGCAGCAGCCAATGCTGCTTGAAGGGCTTTAAGAAAGTGGTTGTTTCAGTCTTATCGAAGGTCATTTCGCATAACGAATTTACTATACAGCAGACTCACATTAATTCAAACTCCTGGAAGTCACGAATCTTGTTTGAATTATCAGAAATTCATCAAAATATCATGCAAGCTAAATTATGCTTTGTTACATAGATGGCCATGCATTGTAAAGCAGATATTTGACAATCTCCTTTACACGGCCCAACTAAACAAAAGCGGGTATGCCACACGTGAAACATTGATGAAATGCACAATACACATTTATTCATGCCTCAAACATGTCGTCCACTGGGAACGCTTTAGACAGCACACGACACCTCAAAACAAAATGAAGCTCGTTCATCTAACAAGAAATTTGTGGACTGTGGACTACCACCCCCTTCGAGAGCACTTCTTATCGAGCACTGGGAAGAAGCGCGCTGCGGAGAAGCAGCACCCGCGGAAGTGGGCTATGCAGGTGTTGCCTCTTCGCGGTGCGCCAGCGCTCGGCAAGAAACGCGCTCAACGGGGCCGCAAAAACAAAAGGTATGAGTTGCGCGAAAGCGCCGTTCGAATTGGGCGGTATATTAGTACATCAAAAACATGGCGGGTCAACCAAAATTTTGGTATATGTTTGAAATCAACCAGGAGCATGACATATCAGAGTGCAAAGTATTGCGAGCCTACCACAGTTACTGACAGGATGGGTATGGCAGGACGTCTGTCTCGAATGCCTGACCTCCAGCACGCGTCCGTGGCCATCCTTCGTGCATTAGCCGTGCGCGCGTGCTCGAGGCTGATGAGACGCGGAAGGGTCATCGGAGGCAGAAAGCTCGCGCTGGGCACGGAACGACCGAAAGACCGCCCTGCCGTTCTTGTCCTGTTGGGGACTGTAGAAACGAAGGACGCTCTTCTTCTAATGCAGGGGTCTCCAAACCTCTTGGCTAAGGGGCCAGATTAGAAACCTTTCGTAGTCTCGAGGGACGGAAAATAAGCAAGACAATACAAATGAGGAAATCGTAAATAAATAAACCTGAATATAGAAATTTAAGGTACAGAAGAAAAAAAAAAATTAAAAATGATGCAAGTTGGATAAATACACATATTATATAAGTTCCAAATTAGTACATTACAGGCATGTCTCTATTATTAATACGTACCCCATTAATATGGATACCCCATTATATGGACACCATTTTCAGGGACAAACTTAACAAAAATACACATTTTTGTCTCGTTATTATTGACGACTCGCATTATGGACAATTTTTGGGGGGAATAAAGGTGTCCAAAATTGATGAGACATTGTTGTACAAAATAATTGCGACCCAGACACCTCACCATGCATAAACTGCGTAGTAACTCTGGCATATTCACGCAGGGCAGGAAACTGATCAGAATGGTAGATCTGATAGTTACGACACAGCACACCAAGCACAAGCACACAGCACACCAAGCAATAGTTACGACACAGCACACCAAGCACAATATATGTAGTGGACCGCGTTCACGCTTGCGTGGGTGTGCGACGCGAAGAGCATGGACAAAGAGACGACATCTTTGGGCCAGTACGAAAATATATTAAAGCGTTAAACACTAGAGAATGAGAAAATTCAGAAAAATTAATTATCGGAAAATCTAGCACTTAAAGGGTAATTAAAGAGGAGTACTTCACATAGTCCGTGAAGCGGGTCTGAGTTCTGATCATGGTTGGCACGCCGAAGTCTTGATGCCAGGTAGATTGGCGCGTTGGGGCTGGGTAGTGGACGACGGGGTGGCTTGAAGAGTGTGGCCTGAAGTAGCGGCAGGGCAGCCTCGGAGGCCCGCTGACCAGGCCTGTGTTTGTGGACGACGAACTGAAGCCGTGCCGACCACGCCTATCGTTGCGGGTCGGTTTTTTCGTCCACCAGATCCTGCTCGCTTGTCCTGTTCGGTCACCTCGAGGCTTCCTTCTACTTCTTCTTTTTCCACCACCCGCCACTCGCGCCAAATTTTCCCCGTGCACACAAACACACAGTCAACCAGCCACATTAGCATTCCTTTTCGTCGTCGTCCTCTTTTTTCTTCTACATTGAAGTCCGAAATCACCACAATATACGTGAAAATGAAAAGGAACCTTAAAATACTTACACAGATGTGAAAGAGGGGACTACGAGTAGTTGTTTTGGTGATGAGGATATACGTACAATAAATATTGTGTTGAGAGAACCCGCATTTTGACGAGTTCTCTTTCATCAATTCTGATATCTTTGTTTGTGCCTTTTAATGCGCCAACGTAGTGTTTCTTCTCTTTTTCTTCCTTACGCGCGTCTATTTTTGCATTGGTAGCAACGGATTGCGGGCCAGGTGTCACTGTAAAGACCGCAGCCATCTGCGGGCCGGAGCTGGGCCGGGGGCGGGGTTTGAAGACCCCTGCTCTAATGGGTCGGAAAAAGACCTTTTCAGACACCGTCACAAAACTCTACGACAAAGTTGCGGGGATCGTATTGTTGGCGTTGTCGACAATGTGACCTGGGGGTTTTCGTCGTCAAGCTTTGCGACCCCCGCGGCAAGTTTATTTAAATGCGGCTCGTACAGTGGACGCGAGCACCGTGCAAGCGTTCAATTTGAGCTCACGACAAGCGATGCTTCGACGTGCCTTCGGACAGTGGCTCGTGCCCGAATCCGGCACGATAAACACTGGTGGCATGCAATCGGCTCTAGGCCACGTGGCCAACTGCTCTTGCTACAAGCTAAAGGGAAGCTACGGAGGTTCTTGAAAAAAATTAGAAGCGAATTCTAGTGTATTTTTACTCCATGAACTCAAATACCGAAACCATTTGCTGCACAAGTATTGATAAACGTGAGAAAACGCGAAAGATAGTCACTGTATGTGATGTTATTGACGGGTCTTTTGGCTGCCCAAGGCTAGGGAGGCAGGGCTTCAGCCCTACTTTAAGGTTGCTCTTACGGCTCTAAGGCACGTCGCACTGAAACATAATTGTGATATCTGTTATTCTTAAGGCCAAATGAACGCAATTCAAGTGTTTTTTCTGAAATGCAGAACTGCCCCATCTTCCCTTTAAGGTAATGAACGCTGCTCGTTTTTCTCAATTTCTTTCTGCGGCTGCCTGGAGAAAAAGAAATTACAAGAGGCCATTTAAGACTGCTTATGTGTAAAAATGCGAAGCATTTGTATACATAGCATACTCCTACAAGCTGTGCACTCCGCTATCCTCAGCAGAGGCCGGCCGGGCAGCCTCTGCGTACCTCGTCCGGCCGATCTCTGGGTAGCGGCAGGTGTACGCCGCTGCGGCGGTGTGGGGGAGCGTTTCCAGGAGTGTGGGGTGGCATTCCTTGGAACTATCCGGCACGTGGGCCGCGTCACAACCATTTTCAGAGCCGTTACGGCGCGGAGAGAATTTCTTTGCTGTTTTTCACGGTTACGGAAAACGCCGGCTCCGCTAGATGGGGCAGTTAATGCTTTCGCATTAAAACGACTCGTGTGTATTTTATATATTATGCGTGCCAAGGAATAATTGTAAGCAGTATTTACTGAAAATACAAGAATTGTTGCATCGCCCCTTTAGTGCAGGCTCGGAGAATTTGTGTCACCCAAAACATCAACTGTAAAAGCCGTAGGCTCCTGGAATGAGTGGGACATGAGTAGGAGCTTGCCTTCGGTCTCGTGCAGAAAGCTATTCCGCCAGCGTCCCTCCGTTAGCCCTTTCAACGAGGACATGCAGTCGGGGGCTCTGGGACCATGGCCCTCGACGGTCCAGAGAGGTGGGGACTCGATTGGCTCTGTTAAACCAAGAACACAAAACTCTCTGTCCTCTGCATTCTGATGAAACACCCAGAGGAAGTACACGATTGTTCCCTCCAGACCAATGACTGCCCACAATAGGAAGATTACAGCAAGAAGTGAACGACACTTCCCTTCTGCATACGATTTGGGTCCCCCATATGACATGCCGTGTTCCAAAGTGGTTTTATAGAACCATTGCAACACATGCTACACTGTCTATGATGCTGTAAGGAATACAAGGAACACTCTGCTGAGAACCGGTTTAGCAGACTACGGAAGATACGAAGGTGAGCGAGAGAGACCAGGCAAGCAATGGTGTTACCTCTCCTTTTTTTTCAGGTCAAGGAGCATACAGGAATGTGCACGGCCTATTGAGATTTTTAAAGAAGGTCTATGGGCTGCGGCAGCCTGACCCGTTAAATGGCCCCTCGTGTTCAACCCCCTGAAAGAGGAGCCAAGCTGAGTATTCTGTGCTGAGAAAATCCTTTCTTTCCTCGTTTCACACAAGAAAAAACACCTAATCGAGAAACAAAGAAAGCGTGAGTTTTATAAATGCACTTTCATTGCAACCCAGTGCAACTACACAAAGTGAATAAAGTTTTATGGTCAAGAGTTTGAAAGGTTACATTCTTAACACTGAGTAGCCAAAGTGAAAATATTTTCTCTCGGTTCGTTTAGTTTTGTTTTCTCCCACGAGCATTTTGGTCTTACTCTAAACATGTTTCAAAACAGTAATTTGCCAGTGGTGAGTTTGTTAAGGGCACAGGTGTGGGCCAAAGAACCGTAGCTGTGCCCCTGGCATTTCCGCTGCATACCACCGATTAAAGGGAAACTCCGCTTCATTCTCGGTTGTTAGCAAACACTGCGACTCTCTTTAGTATCATCTTGAGAGACCGAATGTTAAGTATTATAACGTAATACCACCTAAGAGATCACTAACTTGGCCGACAAAAACTGAGATGCACGAAGTCACCAAAATCCGCTAATTTAGCGGGCGACGTGCGGCGCAGCCAACGTTGTATTTCCATTGTGGCTGACGTCTGTTACATAGGCAGTTTTTTTCTTGGTATTTTCTTTTCCAGGGAGAGCTTACCAGGCGGCGCTATGGACGCGCTCCACGTCTGAGCAAGCAAAGAAGCGAGACAGACAAAGAAAAAAAAAAATTAACGAGAACAAGAGAAACAAAAAGAGGGAGAGAGAGTTGTACGGGATGGGACTAACCGACTAACCGCAAATACTATTTGCTAACCGCCTCGGTTGCCGCCCACATAGCCTGCTTCGTCGCTGCTTGCGTTGCCTGTTCGCCGCCGCAGCTAGGCCCGCCCTCCCTCCACGCCCTTCCCCTCGCATCCGCGTTCTTTCTGGGTTACCGCTGGTAGATCACATGACCCATTGTATTCCACGTGGGCAAGGAGCACGTGGGTGTGTATGCAACTGACGTTGAGGGTACAACGTTGCCCGGCTGTGCCGAAGTTTCAGTTTCGGTTTGCGATTATGGTAAATAACAAATTGCACGAAAAATATTTTGCTTTTAATGAGACAAACGGTCTAGGGTTGTTTTGAAGCACTTTTCACGTTTATATCACCCACTATCTAAAAATTTCCGAAATCGAGTGGAGTTGCCCCTTTAAGAATCAAATTTCCTGTCAAGAATCGGGACCTCAATGTTATTACCTCCTTCATTAGCCTCGGGTCTTGTGACACCAGTTAAAACCTTGCCCCCTCTGGCCTAAGGAGACAGTACTCCAGTAACAAGGCATAAATAAGCTTGATATTTTTCTGACTGAATCTTGCAACAATGCTTTTTCATGACACTTCCTTCGCCAAATCGAGCGGGAACACCTATCCACCAAACACGGCGGGAATGCAGTGGCACGTGAAAGCAAGGTGTAACGTGATGTCACAGTGCCAAGTCGTATCATGGCATCACATTGTCACGTGAACACCGTCCACTAAATTCAGTCGAATGGAAGTCCGCTAAATTTATACGCAGAAGTCTAACCGTGCAAAGCAGCATTCGGCATCTCGGTTATCACTGCAGGTCATTTGCTGGACACGACAAGGAGCCGAGAACTTTCTTTGTCCTTCTTTCAGTAGTTCTGTGCCTTCTTCAAGCACGGGAGTTCGATATCTGCCACGACAATGCGTACAGGTTGTTCTTTACTTAGAGAGCCCAGATTTTTCTAAAAAGGCGAAAGCTACGCTAATGCAGGCTGTACAGGTGAAGTAACATGGCCGGGGGGACATAATATGGGGGCCAATCGTCACAATACGTCAGGAATTCAACTAAAATCTGTTAATTCACTTTTTGATCAGTGAAAACAAACATATTGTTCCAATAACAAACCTGCTCTGGGTCGTCTAAATTTACAAAATAGGTATTTTAGAGAAAGAAATGTGGACGATAAACTTATCATTTGCGTTTTTGCTTTGTCAGCTTTTCACCCGCACCCGGAGTGGTAACTTTAGCATACCCCCCAGCTTCGGGCCTTTCTAAAATTTACCGGTTTAATAGTTGTCAAAGACAATGAGCCTGCTTCTAATTGGAGCCGAACGTTTCTTTTCACTAATTAAAAGTTTATCACCAAATTATACTTAATTCTCAGACGTAATGCAACGACTATCGCCCTATACTATGTTCCCCTTGCCGTATAACTCACCTTCACACGTCACATTTCACAACTTTTATTTTTTTTTTATTTTTTTTTTAAGAAAAAGCATTTTGTATTTTTTTGCAGCAGTGAAACAATGATGAAAATGACAGTTGATATTACCTTTTTTCACCGTGAAAGTGTTATCCCAGTGAAGCCTGGAGGAGAACGCCTGGTTGCAGTCGTTAGAGTAGATGCCTCCATCCGCTAAAGTAGGCAGGATTTCCTCTGGGGCAGCCGAGGTGGATGCAGCGAGCACATCACCCGTGGAACCGGTCAGACGCATGTCACCTGTCGTGAATTTAAACATTATGCCACGGTTCCAAAACAACACCGTGCACGTACCACGGAGTGAGATGTACAAAGACGCAGAGATCCGAGTTTAGCGACGCTGAGGCAAATAATTTTTTTCTTACAATTTGATGAAGTATAGCTTCTGAGGAACAGGTTGACAAAACGAGCTAGAGTTGTAAATGGGTAGATGGAAGAGATAAGCCGTAGAGCCATGTATAGAGAGAGTTTGGTCAATGGGAGGCGTAGGCAAAGTCAGGGCGTGCACCACACGGAGAAAGGAACTTGACATGCTCTCTCGGCCAACCAGAAGCTGAATAGAATCCCCTAGCAATGGTAGCGAGAAACAGTTTTAATCGTAGGTATATGGTTTTATTTGCACGTAAGAGTTAAATGTAGTAACCCTTCCTGGTTGAAAATAGGGTGCACGTGATGTTTCGATTATGATCACGCAGAAAGATGTAAGAAAACTGATGTGGCTGCTCGAACTCTGTTTCGCTCGGACAGAGTGTGACCGCTCAGATGGCAGATTCTCGGCCCTTGGCGCCTGGCGTATGAATTATGTTCATTGTTCCGCTAGTCACGCTCTTCACCCGTGATTTTGGATGACTGTGACAGAAACATCACGTGCACCATATTTTCAGTCACCGAGAGTTACTCCGACGCACATATCAATCTCGTTTCTCACGACCACCGCAAGGGCATTATTTTTAGATGATTTTAATGCAAGGCTATTATTTCTGGCTTCTGGATGGCCACATTCGAATTTGTGAAGACGCCCTGGAACATGCCCAGCCCGCTTTCGGCCAATGGCGCCTCCTTATTTGCTTCCTATACTTCATAGTGAATGGCCAAACTCCATAGACTGTTTGACTGAAGGAGGTCGAGAGGGAAGTGCAAAAAGGACTACCGGCGCTTTCCTCCTTGCTGGCGCGCTATAGAGTGAAAGTTCTGGATGATAGGCTTCTTATGTAATCTTGTGAGCAGCAAGGACGAGGACAAGATTGCATAAGATGTCAAACCAACTCGCCCAAACAACCACTCTTCTTGGATGATAGGCTTTGCCGGTGTTGTATGTAAGAAAACCAATTCAGGAAAACCGATAGAACAAACTCTTCAACGATTTCCAGCCACACCCGGCAGCGAAAATGAGCGTTCAACCAAGTGTTTTAAATGATAAATCAAGTCAGCGTCACAACTTCGAAAATTCAATATTAAGATAAATTCAGTTACAAAAAGTTATAAGCTGAATCAGCAATTATCACAAGAGAACTTGCACACATCTTGCGAGCGTACCCCATGTTCATCAGCGGTATGGAGTTTGGTGCGCGCTCCATGCACAAAATGTTCCTAGCACAGTCGAGAGGATGGTGTTGGAGAAAAGTCTTTTCAATGTATGGACGCAACCCACTGCTACCAGAGATCGGGGTCATGTGGAAAGCGATTGAGCTTAAAGACATTGCAGCCGCACTTGCCGGTTTCCGTGCAAGCTATATAGGTGCTCAGACAGTATTTGGCGCTTTCTGTCGTTATTCATGCACCCTATAACTGTGGAATGGTGTCCCGGTGACTGGAGGACTGTCGCCATTTAAGCCCGTGGCTCTAATTAAGTTTGGAAGTTCAAAACAGAGAAGAAGCGCGAACGAAGTTCGGGCAATGCAGGCACCCAACACCGGTGAAGCCTCTCACCCGGGACTTTCACTCTTTTAAATGCATCAGCAAGAGTGAAAGTGCCGGCAGTCTTTTCCCCTCTCTCTCTCACAATGGCACTACCCACGATAAAATGGTTTATTATCGACTCCAGTGAACTATGGGGGCGCACTGGTCAGGCAAAATTGCAGACGAAAAGAGGTTGTTTTCATCATTCAGCACGTCGACTACCATAAATTTCTTGCACTGCAGCGCAAAATCGGTGTTACATATGACAGCGAAGCAATTTTTCAACGGTAGAAACCTTCTAGTCGATTCATGGGCGGAAGCGTAAAAATAATTAGTGGAAACAACATTTGTTTCTATGCTGCCTACGAGAACCAAGCAGCGATAGCAGACGACAGAGTCGAAACGACCTCCTCTCCTGAGCTTCTCGGCGTTGCCGCTACGCAGCGTCGATTTCGCTGGAGTCGCCTATTCGCGACTCCAGCGACCTATAGGGGGCGCCACCACCAAACAAACATGGCGGCTGAGTCCAGGTCGCGTCGGCTCGGCCGGGCCGCCTGAACAGGTGGCGCGTTCAATTTAACAGATTTTCTTTTGTTTAATGCCCAATTTTATAGGTATTTGAACTGAGACGGTTAAGTGTAGCCGGTGAACATAAACTTGAAAAGCATGGTTTTGTTTTCCCGGTGTTTTTTGTTATTTTCATGTCAAACTTTCGTTTCGGAGATTTCGTCCAAAACCGAAACTATGGGCTCCGGAGAGACGGTAATACACTAATCAGTTTTGATCATCTAAGGAAAGTGGCAATGACTACATAATTCTTCCACCGAGAGTAATATCCAGCTAACTCGCATGTCTCGACCATGCGACTTCTCTGTCCGCGAAATCGAGCTTTTATGCGTACCCGCGTTTAAGAAACAGCTGTAGTCGTCTGCTTGGTCAACAACACAGGTTGCAGGAAAATTACGAACATTAAGCAAGCGCTTCTTGAGCCAAGGAGCATGTTAACCCGCCGGCACCCCACTAAGCAGCTGATACTCGTATTTCAATTCAGGTTTTATTAGCAATCGAGAAGTCATTTTGACGAGCGGGATATGTATTATATTACGTACTATGTCCCACTAAAGCGATATTAGTATATTCTTCGGGTTGAAATATGAGCTTAGTTGACTAGATATTCGGTGAACTGCCGAATAAAAGTCTATTTGACAGACATAGAGACACTACTTAAACTTAGCCAAATGGTTCTAGCCGGCAGCACGGAGACAAACTGAAGAGAGTCTTCATTGGGGTTCACGCAGAACCTCTCTGCATTGAACTTTGCTTCGAATCCTGAACGGAGAAAATAAGTATTTTTTTTTTGTGGCCGGTCAACCTGAGCAATGTAGACATATAATACTGCTGGCTTCGACGGGGGTATAATATAAATATTGGAGTCGCGATAGATCAAAATGTCGTGACAGCTTCTAACTTTGCGAGACGCGTCCCCCACCTTTAGAAAGCAGATAATTTCCCTCATTCATCATTTGCAGCGAGCAGGTTTTCCTGAATCAAGTAATTGCGAAATCAGCCCAACTCCTTCAGAGTGGTCCAGAGGCGTTTTCGGCGAAAAGCAGCCAATATGAATAGCCAACGCACCGACCGGCGTGGGTGGCTCAAACTTAAAGCTAATCGAACACAATCAAACTCAAGAAAAGCAGCTATCGAACCTTCCCAAACACTTGACTGCAACATTGGTGTTCCCTCCAGTGAAATGCCTCGTCTGTCGTCCTCAGTCCGCTGTTCTACGTCCTTATAAAGAAACCCCTTATCAGTTACCAAGTAGTCGTCACTTTGAATGTGATTCGAGACAGACAAGAAATCAAAACGTTTTTCCGTGATTTCTCCCCATCCAAAAAATCGAAAGCACGAGACCGTGTGTTGTGGAGTAAACGGGCTTTCAAACACGTGATGGAAGGAAACAATCTACTGAGGCTCCACAACACTAATGAACGCTCAGGCGAACTTAAGAAATGTTCGGACCTCCGTGAAATTACACTGTTCGCCATCGCGCCGACAGCACGTGTCCGCGAAAGCCACCAGAGACGAGGAGGGGCGCGGAGCGACCTGGACCGGCTGGTTCCCGGTTTTCCCGCTTGGCGGCGTCCGTTTTGCTGGAGTCGCGAATATACGGCTCTGGTAAGCCGTCGACAGTTACGGGTAGATATTAAGAATAGTACCTTTTATAATCGGCGATAGCTTGTGCCACCTATGGTCTAAAAACCTCAAGCTTATCCACACACACACACACACATGCACACAGAAATCTTTGTTGCAGCTTCCGACCTTCATTGTCTGGCGAGTCTCACCCTAACCCCCCCCCCCCCCCTTTCCCCCATCACTTTCCCCCCCCCCCTTCCCCCGCCCCCTCCCTTATCCCCCTGCCTACCTTGAGGCCCTCCAGCCAGAAGGCAGATATTCAATAAACGTATTAACCAACCAACCAACCGTGTCAGCCAAACCATCTGAACATAAACTCCAGCAAGGGGCAGAATAAACAAAAACACTTCACAACTGCAACATTACGCGTATACGGATCACACTGCCTACATCTGCGCTATTCGTGTCTATTTGCAAGAGATCATGGTATGAGGAGCGAGTGACCGAGACTGCGATAAACGAAGCACTCACGGCTGCCGTCCTGCCTTGCAGCCGCCATGGCCCGCGGTCGTCAATCACCCGTCTTAGTTGCTTTGGTTTCTTGCCTCATTCCCTCATTCTCATGAGCCGAGTACTGGAGCCGAGACACGAATTTTGTCCGTGCCGCTTGATGTGTTTTCATGCAGACTATCAACATGCGTGAAAGAGGCCCCTACGCGAAGGAACTGCACTCGTTCGGGATTAGTTCAGGAAGGTAGGTTTTCTCAGTGGATACCGGAGTTAGTTTGTGGGGTCAACTATCATAATCACGGTCACAATGCCTTTTAAAACTCAAAAACACTCTGATTATTACATAGTCTTTGTATCGCACTCGCAACTTATTTTTGTTGACTTCGCAGGTGGTGGAGGAGTGGAGGAGTGGTGGAGGATGTGCTCAATTTACTCGTTTCCATTGAAGAATATCTTGGCGTTCGAAAACCACCGAAAAACCTACGCACACCCACCATGGCTCCGCTTTATTTGTGTTGTCACGTGATAAAACCCGCGGCCTACAACGTAACATAGACGTAACTGGCGTAACTCAAACCTTCTCGAGTAGCTTGGGAACGCACTACAGCCATAATTTCTGCTCTCTTTGTCTATGTAGCAATTAACGTTTACTTCCTCTCAGTTATTTTTTTTCTAGCGTCAAGAAGGAATACGAAATTAAATTATTACCGAATAAAAATGAAATTGTTTTGACCGCTTTGTAAGAAACAAAACTAGACAATCCAATCCAGGATATTGAGCTGTAGCCCGCGTGACTTTGATTGTTGCGGATGTTGTGAATTCCCGTGGATATGGTTGAACGTTTTGCGGTTCTTACTTAAATGCGAAGTAGAACGTCGCTGCCACAAAACAACGAGATAGGGCGTGCTCGAGCAGTGGGTTTTAGAACCACGAACATGCTCCCGTCTTTCAGGCACACTTGGGGTAGATCGGCGTCATATGAACGCGCGTTGTAGCGCGTTCACTTGATAATTAACAACGAGCAGCTTGTGCACTGTGTGTTTTGGTATGTCACTCTTCCACTTTCCCAGGAACCACAGACCGAGGAGTAAATGGATTCGGATGGTCAACAGGGATCGCTCTGACATCTCCGATTCCACCGCGGTGTGTTCTAGACAATTCCCGGAATATCTGATAGGGAAGAAGGCCAAGCTCGGACTGAAAAGAAACGACTTTCCGACGCTGCAGCTCCGAGGAGCGCCGACCGCGAGTACCGGAAGAAAACGACTGCGCAGTCGTGCCGGTGAGTGGCCTTTAGTGATCGCGGCTTGCCGATTTAACCAGTCACCTGAAATATGGTGTACTAGAATACTGGGCAGTGTAGCGGGCGCGGGCGGAGGATGGGCTCGTTCAGCGATGACCGGATCGGTGGCCGCGGGAGGGCGCAACGTGTAGTAGGCGTGCTGCCGGAGTGCGGAGTGCAGTAGGGTGCCTGCATGTCTGTCTGTCCCAGGGTGAAGACATCCATTGTTGACCTGAATGTGACAGCGCGTGACGCTCTCGCGCACTCGGTGCTAGACTTGGGCTGTAAAATGGCGTCTATGCATTAGCCAAAGCTACGCGCTCGAGCTGAGTGACACCGTATTGCGTGCACTTCAAAATGCATAAAAAAACGATTGGGCGGAAAAATGGCTGAGATGTCACCACTCAAGCAAAAGCGCGCGTGTGTATGAAGGCACTCTAGAGTGCAGGCAGCGGTAGCGCTTGGCTTGCTTGACGTTCCTCACGGGTTCAATTCTTTCGTATTGTTTGGCTCGTTCTTTACGGTACTCTTTATTTTTACTGTTTCACATATTATTTATCGCACTAATTCGTTGCCAAATGCTTCGCCCGAAACGTGCATCTTCGGGCAGGACGCCACACTACACATCGCGACATTGCTAGCGCGAACACGACATTGGCACTTTTTCGCATTTACTTCGAAAGCGTATTAGCGAGGACGAAATTTTATCACCTGCATTATAGGCCCGAATGAGCTGTTTCCCCAGCAATTAGAACTTTCCTAAGATCCTTTGGTTTCTCATTAAAAAAAACGGCGATCGCTTGTTCGCGCTAACATTGTTCCGTTTTGAATAGGCGGAAAATCCATCCCCTCCGGGGAAACGTTCGGGAAGTCTCTTGAAAGAGACGTCTCAAACATTTGTAATCCCCTGGATAACGTAGGATAATCATGCTGATGGCATGATACCTAGACAAGTGTCTGATTTTGTGACCCTATAACTTCACTGTCACTGTAGTTGTGGTCAATAAATTCCGCTGTTGAAGCGCACTACCGTAATGAATTGTTTCAACGTTTGGGGCAAAAAAAAAAAATGGGGCTTACAAAACGGATCATATCGTCTACTTTGGTACGCTATAGAGGGGCCACTGCCGTCTTTCGCAACTACTTCCACGGGCTTTCGAAGGAATTTCCAGCACTAGCCTTTATCGTATTTGCTGTTACTACGTGGGGTCTTCGAACAGGACTGTGCGAATAGTTAGAAAAATGTATCCACTCACCAGCTCTGGTAGTAGCCAGAGTGGATAAATTCTTATTTATCCACTGTGCACCACCTATCGATATGTGTGGGCACCAGGGCGCACAGATAAAATTTTGATTATACACTGGGTGCCAAATCACAGATAAGATTAATGAGGTGCACCCAAAGATTCCGGAGGCGATGGTACTTGCTTTTCCCAAGAGCTCAGAAGAGGGGGGCTGCTGAGCTCCCCCGTTGTCGGTGCCCATGGCGGTTTGTACCTCTACATTCTCCAACGTGAGGTCATGAGCTCGATGAGCTTCGACATCTTCAGGATAAATGACTTAGTATCTTGCGCTGGGCCACAAGACCTTTCAATTTTCTTTTGGTAAAAAAATAGGCCTCTTAGCACCTCCTCATTGAAGAGATGGAGTGCTGGGCCAAACCTCATATTTTCAAAGCCGTTAGAAAAAAAAAGAAAGAATTGCGGATGTGAGGCATGACCTTCAACGTCACATTTTCACAGTCACTTCTCCAAGCCTTTCAAGTGTAGTCAGCGTGCGCAGGACCCTTCGGTGTGTCAAAACCAGTGTCTATAAAACCGATCTAGCAGATACTTTACAGAGGGCGAAAAGTAAAAAAAAAAAAATGAAGAGGACGACTGTCACGACTGCCTGCACTACATGAAGCAGAGTCTCCCTGTCACTCCTTTTAATTAATGTTGCGGGATCACGACTCACGTCGATCGAACTCGAGAGGGGCACGAAAAAGAAAACGGGCTTTTTTGCAGGATCGGTAGCCACTGTTGCAACCTGGCACGGGCCCCAGGAATTGAAATTAGGTGGGTGGGAGTTCGGGGGGCATTGAGGGCCCCCCGAACTCTCTCCCTCCCCCTCGTTGTCGTTGTGAATTAAGGGGGTTCCACCCCCGTAGGGGGATGTAGGGAAATCACTGCCCCGGCACAAAACACGTCCCGTCTCTCTTGTCCCGCCGTCTTTCCGTCATTTCACGCGTTGTCTACATGCCACTGAACGGCACCGATCGCAATCCATTTTACTCAATCATTATTAAAAAAAAACAAAAAAAAAACATTGCAGCAAAACAAAGCGACGACGCCAACCACGCGATCACAAGCAGTACGACAACACGGGAGTCCGAGCGGGAAGGAGCACGCCTGTTACCCGCAGCGCCCCCTGCCTTCCCTGGGCACCGTCATCGCTGCGCCGACCTCCCCCCTACGTTGCTACTCGGCGTGGACGACACACTGCCCAGTTCTAGTACACCGTACCTGAAACCACACTGTTGCCGACGTTAGAAGCTAGTCGGGCCAATAAACCAGCACAAAAGCGCCTTGCACGTCATATGGCAAAGTAGCAGCCGCCATTGTGCCGTACCATGCTCCTGTGCGCGTACCCTCTGCAGCATATATTTTGCACCATAAAACTTGATTTCTTTTTTTTTTTTTTGCATGGCTTGCCGAGAAGAACAAATTCAATGGTGCAAAATGTATGCCGCAGAAGGTGCGGGCACAGGGGGGCTATGTTGCGCTTTTTGCACTCCCAGGAGACTGGGGAGAGGGAAGTGACGTCAACGACACAGCAAACGCAGATTGGGTGTTGATTTCGTTTTCTTCTGTCAACATCCAATCTGCATTTGCTGTGTCGTTGACGTCTTTTTGCAACTTTCGGTCCACGTCGTTGACTTCGACCGAAAGTTGCAATGTGCACTACGGTATGCCGCCATCTCGCTGACACCTGTCTAACCAGCCTAATGGACATGAGGCGTCTTCGTGTATTTAAGCTAAAATGACAAACTCTTTCATTTCGAGTTTGGTGCACCAATCCGTCCCTTCCGTCGGCTCATTGCACGTGACATCATAGAAATGAAAGAGGGAGAATGATTTAAAACGTACAATGATTTTGATAACGCTTTCCGCCAGTTTCAAATATCCACAAACACTAAAAGAAGCAACAAGGCCAGTGAAATCTGTCAACGCCCACCTGTCAGCAGGAGCCGTGAAGCTTGAAGAAAAGCTCCAGTTCGCCCACGTGACGTTCACCTGCAAGCGTGTTGAGTGTCACCAGACTACCGGTCGTGCTTCCAGTAAAGTGAATACTTGGGTGAGTTGGTTTTGCATATCGAAAAAGAAAAGGGGCGTGGGAGTGGCCGTTTGTCGCGGTTTTCTCGTGGGAGAGCTCACTTCGCTAGGTGAACCCAGCTTGCTGAAACTGGTTCTGGCGTGGCACACGTGTGAGCCCAAAATTATATTACAACGGAGCAAGTGGTGGAAGCCTAGTTCTTCACCTCGACCCACGACTGGCGTATAGGCGGCGGCATCCCTTTGGCGAGGCAAACCAAAGCAACATGCAAAGCCAATGCAGCCGCGCAAGTGGATCCTGGGCCCGCGAGACAAATCCCGTTGCGGCTAGGCTTAGCTAGCGCCAGCGGGCTCTCCCGCTCGAAAAAAGCGCCGCGCCAGTCGCCCTCTTTCAGCCTCGCGAGACATCCTACTGCTATAAATTTGACAGGTGCCCCTGGCAAAATGCGTATTTTTTAGACACTGTCCACTTCTGAGGCAAGTTTCACTCCAGGTCAGCCATTGTCCTGTGTTGTCTTTACCCATTCTTCGTCCCCGTTTATCTGAGGCTGTTTTTTCATCATGTTTAACTGTTACCAACTGGCCCAAATCACCACCCTACCTCACTCCAGGTCCGGGAGACGGAACGAAAAAGTCTAAACGTCATTTTCTTGAAAATACTCAAGACGGTGCCTCACGTCCGTGGTTCATATAGCATTGCTCATAGATTAGTCGAATGCAGTGTGACCTCTTGTTTTAGCGTGCATGATTGTATTTGTATTTATTCCAGCCTTTGACTAAGTTCCGGCTGACTGAAATGGAGTGTAGTGTAACTCGTAGTCACTCATCAAAGGCTTACCTCCCGTGGCTTCCCAGCGGCCCAAGAATAAAGGCCGACGCGCAAAAATTAATTCTTCCTGGCAGAAGGTTATTCTCCTTTTCTTC